ATTAAGTKTTTTCAGATTATCAATTTAAACGCTTTTCAAATATTTAATAATATGTAATATCTCTAAATAAATAAAATTCAAATAACAAAAAAGTTTAAATATTTTATAGATTATTTAAATATGTAAATAACTAAATATTTATCATAACTATATTTTAAATAGTTAAATTAACAAAATTATCTAATAAATAATTTTATATTTTTACAAAAATATTTCATGAAATTATGTACTAACAATTTAAATTATGCTTTTCCGGGTCATCAATTTAAATGTTTTCAAACATTTAATAATATGTAACAGATTTAAATAAATAAAATTCAAATAACAAAAAACTTTAAATATTTTATAGATTATTTAAATAACGAGATATTTATCATAACTAGATTTTAAATAGTTAAAATAATAAAATTAYGTAATAAATTTAAAAATTTCTTTAAAGCAGAAAAATGATTATAACATAATATTGACATTAATAATAATTTAATATATTACAAAATTAATAATGAAATTATGAAATAATAGTATAAGTTATGATTTTATGGATAATTAAATTCCATCAATAACTAATAGTTTAAAATTTAAATATTTTACATATTATTTAAGTATTTAAATAATTGGGTATTTTAAATAACAGAATATTTAACATAACTAGATTTTAAATAGTTAAAAAAATAAACTATGTAATAAATTTAAAAGTATTCTGAAAAGTAGAAAATTAATTGTGACATAATATTGAAATTAATAATAATTTAATATTTTTACATAATATTGTAAATAACTAATTTCACTTATATGAAGTAATTATTCAAGAAAATAACTTCCAAAAAAATAATATTTAATAATAATAATTTTATACTCTTAATATGTATTTATTATATAATTATATATACTAAAATTAATATTTATTGCATTTTAGTAATTATTTATTGTTTTTGTGATAAATGTATTTTCAATGATTATGTATAAATTATTTTGTTTTGTTATTTAATAGAAAGCTTTCAATAATTATTGGAGATTAAACTACTATTAGTGAAATTTTTGAACTTAATTTATTGTACTTATTATGTTTTTGTTATAACTTATGGATTAATATTTATTAGAGATTAAAATATTATTTGAGATTATACTATTTATTGACTAAGTTAATATATTTTTAGTACTTATTGTATTTTATAATTACGTATTCTTTCTATAAATTTTCATTAATTATCGTAGATTAAATTAATTTTAATTTAATAGTTGGTTCGGTTTGGTCGTAGGCTTTTTGGCCAACCAAATTGACCTAGTTAGGTTGGGGAGTTGGTCATCTGAAACCGATTGACTTTTTGTGAAAACGAACCCACTCAAGTTGTACCGTTTTGGGTTGATTTTTTTGGTTTGGTCAGTCAGTTCAAAAGATTTAAACTTAAAAATAAAATAAAATTTTAAAAATTATAGTGTAAATGTTAGAAAAAAATTTAAAATTAGATTTATGATATAAAACTTCTAAGACTAAGAAATATGGGAAATTTCTCACTTTCCATATTAAAAATTATATTTAAAATTTAATATATTAATATATATCCATGGTTAGGTTGTTCGATTTTGGTTGGTTTACAAATGGCTAAAGTGAAATTGATCCAACTTGGTCGAGTTGGGAAATTTTTGAACCAAAGCCGACCTAAAATACTAGAAACCGACCAGCTCGGGTCAAGTTGATCGGGTTAGTCGGTTTCATCAGTTTGATGAATAAACCTAGTTGAAATTAATTATTGTTATTTTTGTATTATAAAAAAATTATTAAAAGTAGTATATAAAATATGAATAATTATTAATTATTTAAAAAGTTGAAAATATAAAGCAATTGTACTCTTATGTGATTCTATTAGGGTCATTTATTAGAACACATCTTATAGTTTACATATTTACTTAAACCTACCTTATAGTTTTCATTTTATTAAAACATCCCATATATTTTACAACTTACTTACTTAATCAACCTTTCATTAAGGAGTGTTTGTTTTGCTATTAGGCCCATGATTTTTTATTCCAAAAATACCCTTAACACTTTTTTTTTGTACAAAAAGCAAAATTAACCAAATATAGCCAATAGTGGTTGCCTATGTCTTATAAAGGGCAAAAATGGTATTTTTATTTTATTTTCTTTTGATTAATTTTTTTAAATGAACATTAGGGTCAACACTGTCATTTTCCACTATCATCTAATGAAAGACTGATTAAATCCATTGCAAATTATAAGTGGTGTTTTAGTAAAATTTTAACTATAGGGTAGATATTAGTAAATCCATGAAACTATAAGGGTATTTTAGTAAATGACACTTTCTATTATTTGGCTTTCGCTTAATAATGCACGGGGCCCCGCTAGTATATATATATATATATATATATAACAAGACGGTTCACGTCACCTTTCTTCTCCTTGCCCTTCCCACCACTCCCGAATTGCCATCTCGGCACACTCTCTCTTCATTCCTCTCCCTTCCCATTGGGTTCTCTCTCTCCCCCCACAATTCACGTCTCTCAGTTTCTATAACAACCTAACTTCTCTCCTTAATTAGCTCAATAAGGGGAATTCGATGTTTCCTATATACTCATGGCATCTTCCATTATTGTTAAATAATCTATTCTTAAATAATAATATATTGTTAAATAATCCATTAGTTATGAAAATTATTAAAAATTTTAGGAAAATATTCTACCAGATATTATGAAATAATTACTTCAGAAATCATCCATTATTTAATAAGTTTTGGTTATTAATAAATTTTCAAAATTTCAATGTCAAGCATAATTTACATTAATCATTGTAATTTAATAAATTTTCATTAAATTTTTACAATAATAGCTTATTGATAAAAGATATTACTAATTAGTGCAATTTACTAATTTCTATAAAATCAATAATTATAGTTAACCATTATCAAGTAATTTAGGGAAACTCTTTAAAAAATAATAAATAATTTTTTTAAATAAGTAATGAAAAAATTAAGAAATTAATCTATGAAAAAAATATTTTGTAAAACTAAATAATTATTAAAAAAATTAGAAAATTAATCTATCAAAAATTGTTTCATAATTATTTAAATAACAATCCATTATTATTATTTCAATAAATAATTATTAAATAATTTAGGATAATTATTAACTCTATCCACACCGATCTAGACCACTTGGTTAACTTTGACCATACTTGGTTTTATATTAATTAACAACAAATGGTTTACTTTAATTAAAAATAATGTAATTTATCATAATTACATTTACTTTGATTAATAGTAAATAATTTAGGCTTAAAATATAAATAATCTACATTAATTTATTGTTGTTGTAATTAATTAATTTACTATACATTACTACTAATTAATAACAATTTCAATAATTTTTTTTGGAAATTATCATAAAATATTGTAATTTAGTGTTATTTACTTTACTATTAGTTAATTAGTTATAGAAAACTATTAGAATTGTAGGGATGGCCAATTTCCTTGTAAAACCTAACATGGCATGTTTTCTCAAATCTTAAACGGTGATGGGGCAGAGATGGAGTGGGGATAGGAAAAATATTTTTACCCCAAATTAGGGATGGGGTTTGCATATAATTCCTCAAACCCCAATGGTAAATTAGTAAAATATCCAATGGTTCAATATTGATTTTTAAAATATCTCTAAGGTTTCCTCATATCCGAAGATTTAATTTATAAAATACCCCCAAATTGTCATAATCCAATTCCTAAAATACCCCAAAATTTCCATATTCCTATTTGTAAAATATACATAAGTTAGATTATTTTAGGTGGTTGCCTTAGGGTGGGGAAATTTTGGGGATTCCCCATCCCCGATGGGGAATCGGGGAATGGGTGCCTCACCCAAAAGGTTAGACCCCAGACCGCCACTAGGGTCGGGGCAGGGATGGAGTATAGTGTCTTGACTTACGGGGGTGAGGGACAAGGAGTGATGCTACATCCTGTGCATTGCAAGACAATTCACATCACCTTACTTCTCCTTGCTCCATTATCTCAACCTTGCATTCTCCTTGACTCTCTTTCCTCTCCCCCTTCCCACCACTCCCGATTTGTCATCTCAGCACCCTCTCTCTTCATCCCTCTTTCTTCCCATTGGGTTCTCCCCCCTCCCCCCACAACTCACGTCTCTCACTTTCTATAACAACTTAACATCTCTCCTTAATTAGCTAAATATATGTTTTATCCCCTCTATTCCCTCCACTTTCCAATAAAAATAGGGTCATCTCTCTCTCTCTCTCTCTCTCTCTATATATATATATATACCATATATATAAGATTTTGATTATTTTTAGTTTAAATTGTGGAAAAGTAGGGATACACACGATGCAGAATTCTGAATTCCAGCCCCCCCTACTACTAGCCCTCTCCCCCCTATAAACTACATCCTGCACGTGAATTTGGCATCAATTCATGGTCAAGATGCATTCCCCCTGTACTTTGGCTATAAAATTCTGATCTGGGCTGATTAGTCATTCTCCCTTTAAATTGTTATGGAAATCAATCCAAATTAAATTTATCGAATAGATAAACTAGTGGATATGGGTCTTATTGGGGTTGAGGAACAAAACAATTCTAACAATTTATGTATTTTATCCAACTACAATCATAAAAGGGGTTTTCATTTTGAAAATAACCTGCCTTGGAATTCAAGGCAAGAATTCTAAAAGGTATCCATGAGAACCATGGCTATTTATTTGGATTTAGGGCTACATGGAATTCAAATTTCGTGGCAACACGAAATCCACGAAATCAGCAGATTTAAAATGAATTATTTAAAAAAAAAGCCAAGTAATTAATGGCAACTTCTGAAAAAAAACAGGAAGAATTAAATTAAAGAATAGTAAAAGTAAAAATTATCCGTCTTTAATTTGCGTTCAAACTGAGCCTACTATTAGAATTTGGGTGGGTCTTAATCCTCCCTAAACGAAAGAAAAACACAGAATTCCATGATCCTAATTCCTAATCAGTGAACTTAGTTGAATTTTAACAGCTGCCATGAAAATTACAAACAAGATTTCTGATACAGAACTCATAAATAAATATGCATTAAAGAGAAAGGAAAACAGCAATTAATATAACTGAGCAGGAATTATGGCTGATGCAACTTAAGCATCCAAATGAAACTCAACAACATCTTCCCCTTCTTCATTTTCTTTCTTGGTGATCACCACCTCAGTCTTTCTGCAGATGAAGTCATCAACAGCGACCTTCCATGGCTTCCCCAGCCGAACTACACCACGCATCCTCAAAACCATCTTGGTCAACACCCAGAACAAGCATGCAACGCTGTTCTTCCCTTTGTTGTTCCCGGGGATGGCGATTCCGACGTAGTTCAACGGCGAATCAGTGTCACAGAACGCTACAATCCTAACGTTGCCGTGTGAAGCAGCTTCCTCCATTGCCTGGAAGTCAGCTCTAGGGTCTGCCACAATGAGCAGACGAGGATCTCTGAACGCAGGCTGGCAATGGTTCGTGTACGTGCTCGGCAAGAAGCGTCTCCCGGCAACTGGGTGTACACCGGTGAGCTCTGCAAACTTCATGACAGCATCCTGGGCATCCGGCCTTGAAGATTGAACGACGACGTCTTCTGGGTTCTCTGTGGCAACGATGATCCTCGCTGCGAGCTCAAGCTTCTCCCATGTCTCCTTGAGGTTGATGATAAAGACGCCTGAGAGAAAAGGAAACTGTGTAAAGCTTAAGAAAGCCTGCAGCCTGCTCTATTACCGAGAGAAGAAAGGAGGAGAAGGGAGAGAGAATCTTACCGTCAGATGTTTGCTTCAATGCGTACTTTCTCATGAAAAGGTCACAATTCTTCGCCCCGAGATGGACATTTGCGATCAGCATCAATCGAAGGTCGGCCTCTTTCTCAGCCATCGATAGTCTCTTGAACGTCTCCATGGCAGCAACGGTTAAAACTAGGACGTCTATCAACTGTCGAGGCCTGTAAATTGTCTTTCTGTGAAAGTCTATATATAAAGAAGTTGTCTGGACTCCCTGATTGTCTGCAACTAGAACTTCAAAACAAATTAGGATTTCACCTCTAAATTCTGAAAAGAAGAAGCAGGAGAATCGTGACTCCTAATCGATATTGGAAAACCTATTACGAAATTGATGCCCGACGAAGAGAAAGATTGACAAGCTTCATGTTCTTGGAACAGGGGAATTCCGTCGACGATCGCCGGCGGGACAATACGAAGCGTGGGCATAGCAGGTTTAGTAGGTTTAGTTACTTGCTTTCTCAGCTCTTTTGTTTCTTGATAGCGAAGTAATTCAAAAATACTTCATGACAGAAAAAATTCATCAACTTTTATGTATATTATGGTGGGGTTGTTGAACACAAATTAATTAGGAATCGTTACTGAGAGTATTAAATTCATTAACTTTTATGTATATTAATATCCATTTCAATTTAACTATAATATTTGATACATTATATATATTAATTAAATTACAATTATTAATAAAAATTAATTATATTGATGGATATAGTCAATGATTAATTATATTAATAGACTAAAAAACTTACTATTTAAAATACAGTTAATTAATCAATTAAATTGATTTTTAAAATAAATATTATTTACTTCACTCAACAAATAAAATCAATTAATGTTTTAAAAACTATCTTAGAGGTTGAATAGCTTTTAACTCTAGGTAACAGGTCATCGGTTCACTTCTGCTTGTTGGACAAAGGAGTCAAACCATGATATATATATATATACATGCTAGTGGGGATCGGTGCGATGCATGGGCTTTGTTAAAAGAATTTGAGGCAAAAGGAATTAAGGGTGCAGCTTGAGTAAGCCTAGCCTGGGCCCAACCCACTCAACCAAAATTTGTATAGGTTGGGCTTGAATTTTCAATTTCAAGTTGGACTTAGGCCAAAAAACTCAAGTCTAACCTAAATTCAGATTAGGCTTGGGTTGAGACCTTGGGTAGCCCAAGCCCAATTCAACCAATTTGATCTACAACATTTTGTGATATATATATCTACATATTATCAAGATATTCTACATAGAAATTGGGCTACGAAAATCAATATATCCAATCCCAAGCCTAGTTCAAGATGTTGGGTTAAACCTTGGGTTAGGACTAGGTTGGATGTAAATAATGCATTCTTGGATGGTGAATTATTTGAAGATGTATATGAAACAACCTCAGGGTTTTGAGGATCCTCCATTCCTTAATTATGTTTGTAAACTCAAGAAGGCATTATATGGACCCAAACAAGCTCCTCGAGCTTGGTTCTCCAAACAAAGTTCCTTCCTTCGCAACATAGGATTTAAAGCAGCAAATTCTGATCATTCTCTGTTCATTTATCATAATAATTGCATCTCATTATTTGTTCTTATCTATGTGGATGATTTACTAGTCACAAGAAACAATGCAAAAGTTATTTCTCACTTCATTTCACAACTTGTCGCCATCTTTACCATCAAAGACCTTGGCACTCTTTACTATTTTTTGGGAACTAAAGCTGAATTGGCTTCTACGGGACTCTACCTTTCACAACAAAAATATATTTTGAATATTCTGCATTGGTGAAAGATGATGGAAGGGTGTAAACCCGTCTCCACTCCCATACCATTAAACTTCTCTCTCTCCAAGTACAATGGTACTCCTCTTGAAGATCCCATTGAATATCGTAGCAGTGTTGGCTCTCTCTAATATGCTACCACTACAAGACCGAATGTTACCTTTAGCATCAACAAGGCCTACCAATTTCTTTAGATTCCAACAGATGTTCATTGGGACTTTGTTAAATGCATACTAAGATATTCGAAAGGTACAATTAGTGATACATTGATTTTTCATGCTGATTCGTCTTCTTCTATCAATGATTACTATGATGCCGATTGAGCGGGGTGCCAGGATGATTGGTGCTCTATTGGAAGTCATGCCATTTTCCTTGGCTCCAACTTAGCCTCTTTGTAGGCCACAAACAACCCACCATTGCTCGCTCCAGTAATGAAGCTGAATTTTAGAGCCCTTGCCAATCTTGCTACTGAATTCATTTGGCTTCAGTCTCTATTATGTGAGTTACATATTCAGATGCCCTCTCCCCCCGGTTTTATAGTGTGATAACATAGGTGTGACATGCTTGGTTGTCAACCCAGTCTGTCATGCTTGCACTAAACATGTTGAAGTGGACTATCATTTTATACTTGACTGGGTTACAAATGGATCTCTCTCAGTTCAGCATATTTCCTCTTATTACTAGCTGGCCGATATATTCACTAAAGGCATACCAAGTATCCGGTTTCTCTCTCTCAAGGCCAAAGTCAACGTTATTGCCAGACCATTGAGTTTAAGGGGGCGTATTGGAGATATGGACTATGAAATAATGGTTTGAGATAAAATTCACTATATTGTTTGACTGTACAAGAAGAAAAACAATAATCGGATAGCTAAGGACTATGGAATAATGGTTACAGATCAAGTGGTAGATGATATGGGTTACAAAGAGACAAACAATAATCGGATAGCTAAGGTGTTTATCCATTACATGGATAAAGGATAAGAGCTTATCCACGTAATGGATAATGCATGAGAGGGCCATGTTAATCCTCCCCCTTAAGTTGGGGAGAAGACGGTGAATACCTCCCCAACTTGGATGCTAGAGTGTGAAAGTTGTCTCAATATCCCAATGCCTTGGTGAAGATGCCAACGACTTGTTGAGAGGAGGATATGTGAGTGAGTTGTAGCAGTCCAAATTAGACCTTTTCTTGAACCAACTGACAGTTAATCTCGATGTGTTTCGTTTTCTCATGGAACACAAGATTTTAGCAAAAGATATGGCTGCTTTGTTGTCATAGAAGAGCCGATCTGGTGAGGGATGATCCCAAACTTGATCAGTCAAAAGGTAATGTAACCATTGGTTTTCACAAGTGACGCTAGCCATGAAGCGATATTTGGCTTCAATGGAAGAATGAGAAATGGTAGCTTGCTTCTTCGATTTCCAGGAGACTGGGCTATCACCAAGATACACACAAAAACCTGACAGAATGGCGGTGGAAGCTCAACCGCCCCAATCACCTTCGAAATAGACATGAATGGTGAGAGAGCTATGAGAAGAGAGAAGGATGCCATGGCCAAGGGACCCTTTAATGTAGCGAAGTATTTGTAGTGCTGCATTCCAATGAAAATTGATAGAATAAACTATATATGGAGGGGTCAGGCATGAGAGGCCCATCATCCCTATCAAGAGTATTGTTTTGCTCTATAGGAAACTTGACTAGTTTGGCATGAAGAAGCCCGGTATCAGAGACAATGTCCATGGTGTACTTACATTGATTGAGAAAGATGCCATGTTTTGATTGAACAACTTCAATACCTAAAAAATATTTAAGTGGGTCGAGGCCATTTAAATGAAATTTGAAATGGATGAACTGTTTGAACATATAGATAGCTGTGGGATCATTACCGGCAATTAAAATATCATCCATGTACACTAATATGGCTGTGAAAGAAGTACCAGATTGAAGGACAAAAATTGAGTAGTCGGCCTTTGGTTGGGTGAACTTGGCTTCTAGGAAAGCATTGAAGAATTTGGAGAACCAATTCCTGGAGGCCTGCTTCAATCCGTATAGAGATTTTTGGAGGTGGCAAACTTTGTTCTCCTCCTTAGTGGTAAAACCCAATGGGAGTTGCATGTACACCTCTTCATCGGGGATTCCATGCAAGAAGGCATTGTTTATATCCAATTAAGAGATCAACGGATCAGCCTTTGATGATGGCAACATTTAGAAGGCACTGTGCCCATTTTGGCCATCGGGGTGAATGTTTCATGTTAATTAATCCCTTTGGATTGGGTGAAGCCTTTGGTAACAAACCGGGCTTTGTAATGCTCAATGGAGCCATTTGAATTATACTTTTATAAGCCCATTTACAATCAATAGCATGTTTGCTTGAGGGTAAGTCAATAATTGTCTAGGTTTGATTTTCCTGTGTAAGTAGTAATGGAGCAAAGGAGTGCAAGGTGAGAAGGAGAGATACGATGGTAAGAAATTGTGTTAGAGATGTAAGTGAACTTGTATGGAACCGATGGTGAGCGAATTGAGAAACAATAATTGCAAAGATACCGTGGAGGATGTCGTTCTCTCGTAGATCGCCGATTGGGTGTTGGGGGTAGGGTCTGGTTCCAAATTCTGGAAACCGACCGCCACCAAGGTCTAGAGGTTTACCCTACTCAAACCCACCCGATGAATCGGCCTTGGAACCAAACTTGCTTTGAAATAAACCCCAAAATATTTTTAAAGATGTGAAGATTTGAGCCCAACCACTCATGATTATAAAAGCCATGGTCTCACTTGACCATTGAGTTAGTTAAGTGATTTGACCATTTGTTTTCATTCTAATATTTGTATGTGTATAATAAATAATGTAAAAGGTACTATTTATAAAATTTAAATTATAATGACAAAATTTCAACCATATATTAATTTATTATGATAATCTACATATTAAATTACTTAATTTAATCAATAAAGATAATATAAGTTTTAAACTATATATTATCATTATTGAAAATCAAGTTGTTGAAGAAGGACAAGTTCCACGGGTAGACCCTAGAACTGACACTGGAACCGCTAAGGCCAGAATCGACCTTGGAACCATCCCTCACAGGGTAGGTTTTGGTTCCAAAAACTGAAATCGACCCCTATAGGGTTGGCTTCAAGTTTTGTGCACCATGGAACTGAACCAAACCGACCCATGTTCACCCCTAGTTTAGGGTTTGTAGGTATGGTGTCAGAAGGTGGGTGAGGTGCCAATGATGGAGAGGGGTCAAGTGAAGGCAGTTTGATAGGCACTCATAGTGGGATGGGAGAAGAATGACCTCGGTAACAAGCCAAGGAATAACCAGTGTTGGAGTGGAAGGGAACGAGATGGAGGAGAAAGGGAAGACTTCTTCATGAAAAATGAGGTTGCGACTTGTGAAAATGGTGTGGTTGAGGAGGTCATATAGTTTGTAAGCCTTTTGACCATGGGGGTAATCAATGAAGATGTAACGACGGCCCCTGTAGGAGTGGAGTGCGTTTGCATTTGATTAGGTAGGTTACGGTGAGAACACATTCACCCCCAAAAAGCAAGAGGCAGACTTGACTGAAAACGGAGGGCACAGGTGAAATTAAGTAGGCGGTGGTGTTTGCATTCGACAACCCCGTTTTGTTG